TTTTTTTTTTTTTTTAGAATTATTTGCTTAATTTTATTTATTCATTCATTTATTTTAATTTGACCAGAGAGAGACACAGAAAGAGAGGGACAGTGAGAAAGGAAGTCACCAGGTCCGGGTCTCGAACTGTGGCCAGCCATGTGGGAATGTCCAGCACCTTAACCACCACGCCACCTGCTAGCCCCAAGCCTGTATTCTCCTAAATTCACCCAGCCTCGATTATTTCTGGAAGCAACTCAGTAATGGACAGAGATACTTAGGGAGAACAGAAACACACTCATCAGTAAGGAAATTTTAAGGATTTTCAAGAGACCAGTGGGCAAAGGCCAGATGTATACATTTTTATCCAATCAGAATAAGGAACCCAGGTTCTTTGAATTTGCTGATGATGTGAAAAAGACACTCAGATGCATGCATAGTGTTTATCATATAACATTGCTGCTAGCTTTAACTGTGATGATAAACTGGGTTTGGTCCACTCTGACTTTGGTCACTGGGACTTCTTTCCCCAAATTATTTTTTAAATGATACATTAAAAATTATACATATTGATAGTGTACAACTTGATGTTTTGATATATGTATACATTATGGAATGGCTAAATTGTTTAGCATAGGAATTATCTTACACGTTTCTCTCTCTCTCTCTCTCTCTTTTTTTTTTTGCAGTAAGAATACTTAAAAACTATTCTCTTAGCAATTTCCAAGAATATGATATACTGGTTTTTAAAAAAATTTTGCTTTTTTAAACACATATCTGAAATCCATTTGCTGACTTTCATATATGCACATGTTTTAGATCTTTTAATTTTTTCTTTATTTTATTTATGATCGAGAACATGTGCGTGCATGAGAAAGAAGTACTTTTAACCTAGTCTTGTCATACTTCAATCTCCTTTCTCTGACACTCCAGCTCCTCCGGATCTTGAACACATGTGCATGTGTACGTGCACCCAGTGTGTTTTCAAGTCTGTTGCGGGATCTCAGCCTCAGTCAACCACATGGCTTCCAGCGCTGCAGTTCTGTTTGCTGCTGGCCCTGCCACCAAGCTGGGCCTACAAGTATTATTAACTGTAGTTATGTGCACTAGATCGCTTGATCTTGTTCCTCTTTTCTAACTGAAATTTACCGTACATAGAATACTTCCCTTAACATAATGTTCCCCGGGTTCATTCACAGGATCACAGATGATAGTTTTCCTTCCTTTTTAAGGCTGAGTGGTAGCCAGTGCGTGTATACAACACATTTTCTTGATACGTTCATTCATTAATGGATACTTAGGCTGATTCCGTATCTTGGCTATGGGGAATAATGCTGTACCGAACATGGATGCAGATACCTCTTCAACATACCGAATTCTATTTTGGATCTAAAACCTAGCAGTGGGATTGGTGGATTATGTGGGACATCTATTTTTAATTTTTCGAGGAACCTCAGTAGCTGCACTAATTTATAGACCCATCAGCAGTGTAAGGGTTCTCTTTTTCCTCACATCCTTGCCAACACTTGTTATCTTTCATCTTTTTTATATTAGCCATTCCAACATGTATGAGGTAATATCTTGTTATGGTTTTAATTTGCATTTTCTTGATGATTAGTTATGTTTTTTCTTTTCCCCATATACTTATTGACCATTTTTGTTGTTGCTGTTGAGAATGTCTGTTGAGGTCCTTTGCCCATTTTTAAATTGGGTTATCTGTTTTTTTACCATTGAGTTGAGTTCCTTCTGTGTTTTGGATATTCCTCCTCGGGCCCTGGAGTAGTTGGCCTGCCTTGTAAGCAGGCCTTTCTAAGAAAAGTAGTCAGGCCTGTTACGTTAACTCTTTCCTGCATGGAGGCTCACCCTAAATATAATTCCTGTGTTGTGGTGCTTCGCTCTACGTCTGCAGGATCTCTTAGAAAATGAGAACTCTTGGGACCAACAGTTGGTGTAATGGCTATGTCACTGGACTCCCATGTAGTTGACAGCAGTTCGAGTCCTGGACCTGGTGGCTTAAACTCACAGTGGGCACATGTGCATGCGTGCCCAAGATCCTGAGAGGAGAATGGAGGAGAAGGGACTGAGGCGTGACCATCCCCCCTGGGGGGTGATTTCTTGCTTTCTGTCTCTCTCCGTCTTTCTGGCAGGCACACGCCCTATAGCAAAAACCTCTCAAAAAAAAAAAAAAAAAAAAAGAAAAGAAAATGAGAACTCTTAGTTCCTGAGGAAAGTAGAAGTGTACTCTTCAGAAGGGAAGGGAGGCAGAAAGAAGGTGGAAGCTACTGAAGACAAATTTTAGCTCTTCTCAGTTTCACCTAGAATATGTGAGGGGACCTCAAGTTCGCAGAAAAATTGAATTCAAGTACGAGTTCATTTTGGTTTAAGAAAAACTGTACATGCATTTTTCGCCATAATATTTATTTTCTATGAGATTTTTGAAGACCCCCTAATATGAAGATTGTTTCTATTTTTAAAGACGTTTAGCTGAGCTTGGCCTCTCTTTAGGGTTCTCAGATAAAGTCTCCTGAGTGGAGTTTAGCATATGGGGCAACCGATTGCAGAACCTTGGTAATAAAAACCAAAGAAGTAGGAAGGAGTTGGTCTGATTAGAACCGAGTGCGTAGGCAGGGAGAGTGGAAGAAAGGAACTGAAGTTGCCAGTAGCAGTTCAGCTGAGCTGAAAGGAGCTAGGTAACGTGGTCTTGACGGCTTATTTTCGGGAGGGATATGCATTTTCTTTCCATCTGGACAGTTCTGTCACCGCAGTGAAATATCAAAACACATATTTTGGGGGGAGGGAGAGATTTTTGCTATAAGACACGTGCGCTCACTAGACAGACAGGAAGAGACAGAAAGTGAGAAGTCAACCCCTAGGGAGATGGCCACACACAATCCCTTCTCCTCCATTCTGCTCCTGGGATCTTGGCCACACACTTACACATGCCTAGAGTGAGTTTGAAGCCACTAGATCTGGGACTCAAACCACGGTTGGCCATGTGGGAGAAAAATACGGAACACTGCATGAATTTGCGTGTCGTCCTTGCACAGGGGCCATGCTGATCTCTGCATCGTTCCAATTCTAGTCTATGTGAGGCAGCGTGAGCCCCCCGGCACGTTTGGAATACAGCGATAAGGGCTGTTTTCGCCATCTTTTGCTTTAGCCTCTCCCAACAGTTTCAGAATTGGATTGATCTCAAAGGCAAAATTCAGTTAGTTTGAAATCCATAAACAACATTTTGAAGTGTCCATTGTGTTCTAAAGAACACAACAAACAGGGCCAGCAGATGACGTAATGGTTATGTCACTAGATTCCCACATAGCTGACCGTGGTTCGAGTCCTGGCCCCAGAGGCTTGAAACTCACACCAGGCATGTGTGTGTGTGTGCATGGGGGGTATGTGCCCAAAATCCTGAGAGGAGACTGGAGAAGAAGGGATTGTGACGTGGCCATCCTCCCATGGAGGTGATTTTTTGCTTTCTGTCTCCCTGTCTCTCTCTTTCTGGGGAGCACATGTACTTTATAGCAAAAATCTTTCTAAAAAATAAGGAAAGAGGAAGAAAAAGAGAAAGAATTAATAGGTAGGGGCCAGCAGTGATGTGGTGGTTAAGGCACTGGTTCCCACATGGCTGACTGCAGTTAGAGCCCTGTTTCTGGTGGCTTGAAAATCACCCCGGGCGCATATATATGCACATACCCAAAATCCTGAGAAGAAACTGGAGGAGAAGGGATTGCAGCAAGGCCATTCCCGCTGGGAAGCGATTTCTCATTTTCCCTCTCTTTTTCTGTATGGCAAGCAGACATACCCTAAGGCAAAAACCTTAAAATAATAACAATAATAATAATAAAGGTAAAAGAAGGCAGGAATGAAAGAGAAGGGAAAAGGCTGAAAACCCACTTCCACTCAACTCCTTGCAAAGCATAAACCCCAGGGCCAGATGGTACAGTGACAGCGAGACTCTGACACTCTGTGAGGCCGACCACCTAGGAAGGCCCAAGGTTAGCAGCCAGAGAGGGGCCTTTGTGAGCACGCTGGGCAGGTGTGTGCCAAGGACTGGGAATTCTCAGATTGTCGCCTAGCCGGTGTTTATAAGCAGCCTCTGAGTAAACTTCAGTGATAAATGTTATGTACCAGTGGATAAGTGAGCTTTAAGAGACATCTCCCCCCTCCCCATGTGTTTCTGTACCCTCTTGGGACATTTGGAGAGGGTAGTTTGAGGCCCTTTGTCCCAGGGCCTCACTTAACTTTCAATTCTGTGTCTGGATTGCCTCCTAACTCACATAGAATTCATGCTCCTAAATTCTTCCCAAGCTTGGCCAGCTCCAGAGGTGGGAGTAAGGTGAATACTCTTCACTGTTTTCTTCAGTCATTCGATCAAAGAGTCTAAGAGTTGACTCTTGGTTTGGGTTTGTTTTAATAACAACTTTCTTTTGGTATTTTTTTTCTTGCTAGAAATGTGGAGGGAGTCTAGGAAGAAATAAGCAGCTGTGTTTATGGGAGATAAGTTTAGGGTGGACCTGTGGGAAGTTTGGCCTTGAAGCACTGGTTTGGGATGTAAATTAGTGAGATATTGTTCCTGGTTTGTTTGTTTGTTTTTCACCCTGTATCACTGTGTTCGCATGATGTGACTAATCAGCTGTATTTAGGTCTCCGTTTTCCATGTGCAGGAAGAGAGACATGCAGTGTCTTCAGAGTTGTGTGTATCTGTCGTGTGTGACACAGGGACAGGCTGAGAGAGAGACAGGCGTGGGCTTAGACTTAGGTTGAACGGGAATGCGCCTCATGGCGTTGGAGCTCACAGTGCCTTAAAGCAGATCGGGACAGTCCTCACCCTGCCCAGGGAGAATGTAGGCTGACCGGTTCCTCATCTTGCCTCATGGAGAGTTCTGTTGCCGCCCTTTACCTGACTGGGACAGTTCAAACGACCAGCCCAGGCTGATCCACCCAGCCTTCTAGGTTGGGTTTTAAAGAGCCACTTCAGTGTAAATTACATAGAGGAAGAAAGTTGCTGGGATAATTATGAAAGCTTTTTCTCCAGCTCTCTTGCTTAACTTGCACCACTTACTTTGAATACTGAGTTTTCTTTTCCTTATCTAGGGAGGCATTGGGTTGCAGATAGGGTATTTTGGGGAGCAGACTCAGGAGTGTTTATTAGGGAGTACCCACGGGGTCAGCACCTCTGGGTGGGAGGCCAGTCAGCAGGATTGGCAGCGAAAAAGTGAGCTTGATGGACAGCCTCAAGCAAGCCCACGAGGAGCTTGGCCCCAGTGGCCTGTCAGAGGTGCCCCATGTTGGATTCGCATGGTTGGCCTTCTGACCCCTACCTTAATTCAGTCATTGAATGTGGATGCCCTAAGGAGGGCATGAGTTTGGCTAAGGCAGCTCTGCGCCCTTGGGGCAGGTTCTAAAGTGTTGACAGGTGAAACCCATTTGCCTACAGCACTCCCAGTGACTGGGGCAAAAAGGCCTTCCTTCAAGGGGGAGCCTGGTGGCTCATTTGCATGCCCATCCCACGTGGGCTCATGAGCTGCCAGCTGGGAGTACTTGAAAATTGTTAGGTATAGAGCAAGAACTCCATCAGGGGCAGGGGGTGATTTAATTGTTGTCGAATACAGATCTCTGGGAGTTATTTGCTCTTACCTTAACATTTTTGTATAGTGTTTATAAATCCTTGAAATTAAACTAGCATATCTCTTCTACCCTATTTTTTTTTTTTTTTGAGAGGTTTTTGCTATAGGGTGCATGCGCTTGCCGGAAAGACAGAGAGACAGAGAGACAGAAAGCGAGAAATCACCCCCCAGGAGAGATGGCCATGCCACAATCTCTTCTCTTCCATTCTCCTCTCGGGATCTTGGGCACACACGCACACGCGCCCGGCGTGAGTTTAAGCTACTGGGTCTGGGACTCAAACCATGGTCGACTCCATGGGAGTCCAGTGACATAGCCATTACGCTAACTGCTGGTCCCTTCTACCCTATTTTTAAAAGGACGGAAAATTGTGTCTTTCCTCCACTATCTTTTAGAGTTATATGTGCACTAGTATATGATATAAGATAGATAGATTAGATAGATAAATAGCTAGATAGAGGTATACATTTTAGGGCCTTCTATGTTTAAAGAGTGTTATCAGTTATAGTGTATTTAAAAACAATTAGAATCAATTGTTCTCCTCAGGAGCTTGTGAGATACAAATTCATAAACACTTAATCCCAGTAGAATTGATGACTTGGTTATATTTTATACATACCAGTAACCTACTAGCCACAGGGTTAACATAATATCCCTTTTTAACTTTAGAAATGAAAATATAGTCTTAAATTTTTCACTCATAATAGGTGATTTCTTTAACTTTTTTTTTTTTTTAGTTTATTTCTTCAAAGAGAGAGAGATGCTTAACAGGCTTTCATCACACTGCAGTGGCTCCTCCCCCCAGCCTTCCAGCCAACCAGTATCACAGACTCACATGTGTTCAGTGTATTTCGGGTCTACCCAGGATTTGAACCCTGGCCCTCTATGTAACTCCAGCATTGCAGAGCAACACACTACTACCTGGGCCACTGTAGCTGAGCCATTGGTAATCCTTACTGTTAGTTTATTTATAAAGGGAGAGCTGAGGTGGGTAGGTTCTTAATTGGAGACTGGTACACTTGCCCACTGGACATCAATGTAGTTGAAAATGAAACATGTAGTTGAAAATGAAACAACTTCCCTTAGTTTGTCTGCTCTCTTTACCTTTTTTGGTTTGTTTTTTTTTTTTGGGGGGGGAGATTTTTGCTATAGGGCACATGTGCTTGCCAGAGAGACAGAGAAAGAGACAGAGAGACAGAAAGCAAGGACTTACCGGTGTGAGTTTTAAACCGCCAGGTCTAGGACTGGAACCTCAGTTCACTACGTGGCAGTCCAGCACGATAACCATTCTGCCATCTGCTGGCCCTTCTCTTTACCTTTTTAAATAGAACAAAGTAACTCCTTCTCAAGAATATTTTTCTGTGTCTACCATTACCTTAAGGTCCATTCCAAATTAACCTTTGTTAAAATAGATATGCTGGGGGCCAGCAGGTGGCGTGGTGTTTAAGATGCTGGACTTCCACGTGGTTGACCACCGTTCAAGTCCTGGACCTGGTGGCTTGAAACTCATGCCAGGTGTACAGGCGTGCATACCCAAAATCCCAGGAGGAGAATGGAGGAGAAGGGATTGTGGCATGGCCATCCCCCAGAAGGTGATTTCACTCTTTTCCTCTCACTGTCTCTTTGGTGAGCATGTGCCCTATGGCAAAAACCTTTTAAAAAATTTTTTTTAAGGTATGGTAATTGCTCTGTTGGATAAAAGGCCCTTGACAGGCCTGGGACAACTGAGAGTGTCAGAGCAGGTGACCCCTAGACCCTGTATCCCGGAGGCTCTCACTGTTCTCTTCCCATGTCCTGAGCCACTCTGGAGAGTGGGGTGAACCCTCACAGGCTCCCCTTCCTCAAGGGCAGGAGTATCCCCTGCATTTCAGGGAATCAGGAGAAGTTGGAAGCCAAGGTTTGGGTCACGTCCATGTTGTCGCCGTCGTCCTCTTCTTCCCCCGTCGTCTTTAACACAGTGAGCTCCTCTCTAGGAAACCCTTTCCTTTCCTCGGCTAACCAAGCGCACTTCTGCTTCCTCGGGGATCAGGCAGGATCCTCCTCACCAGATTCCTCCAGTCGCGGTGTGGTTAGGGAGGACGGGGAGGGTGTACATTGTCTCTGTTCTTCCACACCGAGGCGGTGGGACTCTGCTGCATTACTGCAGCTCCCAAGCCGGCTCTGGTGTTACCCCCTAGCCCTTGTAGCTTAGCGTTAGTGATAAGAGTAAGGACCTTGGAAGCCTCTGGGACTCTGACAGATTATAATGCGTAGCTTGTTATCTTATCCATGAAGTGGGGAAAGTGATAGTACCTTGCGGGCTGGTTGTGAGGATTCAGTGAGATGAAGCTTATCGAGGGTTTAGCACACTGCCTGGCGTGGAGTCAGCACTTAATAAAGGCCATGGTGATTGTTGTCATGACTCCGGCCAAGCCCTCAGGCCGAGAGCAGAGGAGTCAGGGCATGTCGGACCTAAGTCTCTGTGACTTTTATTGTTGGAAA